CGATTTTGTCCAACAAACATAAAAATTCATTCATTTTAAATGTGGAATTAAAATTATCAACAAACATTTTAATTCATCAGTCATATAAATTCGACGATTTGAAAATTGAAGCCGAATATTTTCTACAATCACTTTAATTCAACAAACAAATAAATTTTTATTGTTAGACGTAGTAAAAGAATCTTTTAAAATGATTGTTGAATTAATATGGTTGTTGAATTAAAATGTTACATGAATTAAAATGTTTGTTGATAATTTTAATTAGGCGCTAGTATACACGTACCCAAATACACTAAAGGATAGTTCCTGAAACTTCCGCACAATCACAGATACGAATTAAAATTATCAACAAACATTTTAATTCATGTAACATTTTAATTCAACAATCATTTTAAATAATGCTTTCCGATTTCAACAGCACGAATTAATATGATTGTTGAATTAAAATGTTTGTTCATAATTTTAATCCCACATTTAATATGAATAAATTTTTATGTTTGTTGAATTAGTTCTAGTTAGTTATATTACTGTTCGTTTATGTATTCGTTTGTTGATTTGTATTGTTAAACTTTCGTTATACACATTGCTATATAATTCATACATCATTTCAATTAAGTGAGGTTTTTTAAACAAACATATTTAATGTTTCACATAAAAACAACAAACATAATAAATCGGGAAATAAAATTAACTGTTGTTTATAATGTTACATTGTAAACTTTCGTAATAACAAGTAAAACGGCGTTCCATATATAAAATATAATGGACAATTTTTCAAAAATGTCAGCTCCGAGTGTATTCTTATATTTCTATCGAAAATTAATTAAACGCAAACGAGTGTTGTCAATGTTTAGAATTTAAACAAAGGAATAAGAATTATTCAATAGAAGCGCATTTGATCAGAGGAAGTAATTCTTATATAATTTACATCGTAACCATTGTTTCCGAATTTTCGAATTGAATCAACTACCAAAGCGTCAATTATTATGGTCCTAGTGCATAATCATGCAGCTCTGGATTCTGGATTACAATAAGAGATGCTTGGATGCCAATATTGGGGAAAGAAACGACCCTCCACTTTTTTGACGGAAATGCACGTGTTGAAGCACCAGGAATCCGAATCAAACAAAATCTTGTTGATGTCGGTCCGTCTGTCGGTTCGTCTATACTCTCATATCCGGCTAAACGGTTTTTGGGCAAAACCGCGCGTACGAAAGTGTGTCAAACTCTCATTTCCGATTAAACGGATGAACCGATTGGAACCAAATGTGGTACACATATTTTTAGACATAAAAGAATGGGCTGAAAAGTGGCATCGGTAATTATCGATTTATTAAATGTACCATTGACTATCTATTAATTGATAATTATCGAGAAGTTATAAATTAATCGATAATTTTCCATAAGTTATCGATTAATCAATAATAATTATCGATGTCTCTAGATCAGTACTTGTCTAGATATTCAAGTAATGATTTACCCTTAGGGTTGACGTTAGTATCTACTGTGCGGTGAGCATTTGAGTCATCCTATAATGAGGCGTTTGATGTTTCTTTCACAGTATTCTGTCAGATCTATTATCTCATTACTGAGAGGTAGGTTGACAGAATCACCCTATATGTCACAACTTACCCGTATAGCTGTGATATCACAGCTACACAGCTGTGGTAGCAGGAGAGCCTTATCCAAGAAAATTCGATCGTGGTTTACAATAACTTGATCTTTCAATATATGCCCTTAAACTTTTCGTACCATGGACCCTGGAACATTTTCTCACGGTAGATTTGCCTTCCGTTTCCCTAGAAAGTTCAATGCAAGTTAGCAAGAAACTCTCAGGTAAATTGACCGGCCTAAGAGAATACGCTCCCGAAGGATGTACTGTTGAAATATTCCGGCGCAAAATTCGCTTTCAAAAATTTACTCCCAAAATGCTAACCACTTTGGTATAGTCTATACTGCGTTCGTACCTCCAGATGCAGTAAGGGGTCTTATGAACTAAATGCCTCTCTTATTAATTTGCGTCATTCTTCGATAACGCTATCCTTGCTCCTCACAGTAATGATGCCAAACTGACATATGATTCAATTGAAGTATTAAGACCGGTTTTACACGCCGTTACAGTCGCCCAGACTCTGTAATTGAGCGCAAAACCTGTTGAGGGCCCAGAACAAGAGGGGGATAATAAATGAATAAAAAAAAATCTCGGATATAGTATCTCGCATACGATATCACCGTGTAAAAGCGATCTAAAACAACTGTGCTATCCTTGTCACGTTTGTTAATGTTTGACAAGCATAATATACTGTATGCTCATAAGTACCATACTGCATCTGGAGGAGCGAACGCGCTTTAGTAAATATTCAATGCAGGTTAATGAGAACATATTGTAGGTAGCCACTCGATCGCTAATTAATTTTTTAATTTAATTTACTTTTTACACTAATTCTGATCTTACTGGCATTAAAACCGCGTGAACTAAGTTTACACATTCACAGTCTTTGGTTTTCTCTTCGCGCTTAGCTATTTATATTAAGCAAAACGGAACCAACGAAATTCCTACAACTCGCGTCCCTCTTAACCCATTAGCAGACTAGCAATTTTTATTTCTTTTGTGTTTTCTCTCGGCAAAAAGGGAACCGCCGAATCCGTACACTGCCTACCTTGGTAAAACCTATGCGCTCTAGATGCGTACGTACTATAAGCGATTCATATGCAATACTTACCCATGTATAACTTTCGACAAAAAATTTAAACTGCAAAGCGGGCTTCTGTTACAATATCCGTCTTCGAAGTGCTTACCACAGGTTGGTGCAATGGAGAAAATCCACCTTAACACCTTTAAAGAAACCCGCCTTCCAAGTTCCTATCTACCGCAGACTTCCGTAAAATCCCGTATTTCCCGTTTCCGTAGAAATGTGCTTCCTTAGAATCCTCAAGGACCCATCATGCCAATTTCACTTCTGATTTTTGGCCGTCCCATCCAAAGACCCATCTATTAATAAAGTGGTCTATACAAAAGTTATAGAGGAATAAATTCTGCGTTCGACAAGATCAAACATGTTTTGTTTTTGGACCGCCCGTTTCCGTAACATATTAATTTATTTTACCCAAAATCGTCCTGAAACCTTCATTTTCATACCTAATTTCTGTCAGGATATTTGAGTTTCCATGATAGAGGCAGTAGACTACGTTTCCTGCCGCTTGTAACTTTACTGGCCGCACTTGTCACTTTACCGGCCGCATTTGTGACATTTCCAAATGTCTATAATGACTCCTGTCATCACTGACAGATTGACATTAATCAAAAGTTCTATACAAAAATTGAAATTTTATATAAAATTTAATACAAAACTCGACAGTAAAATGACATTACCTGACTCGGAAATTAATTAGTAATTGGTCTATTCGGTCAGAGCAAGAAGAAGGTGGTCAAGTTCGAAAATGAATGTCTTTTCGAAGAAATCAAACTTTTCTTCGAACATGACACTCAAGCTGAACCTATTTCCGAAACTGGCCTAATGATTTTTGTCTAACTTTAGATAAATTGAGATTTTACCTGTTGTCCTTGTAAAATCAAAACTCAACCTGACATCCCTCCCACTAATATTGCTTGAGAACTTACCTACAAGCAAAAATTATTCTTCTTTGTTATAAGTACAAATGTGGTTAGGGCATCAGATGGATCCAAATATCAAAGTATAACAATTTGGCCACAATATGGCGACCGGAACCAACGACCAATCAAAAACTAGATACCCGATTGTCACCACTGTTCTAAATTGTAGTATCTTACGAAAATTTGCTTTTGGAGCATTAGTCCTCTAAAAATGTTCCTGTGCATACACGATTCTGCCTTTTTATGTCTAAGAATATGTGTACAACATTTGGTTCCAAACTGTTCAGCCGTTTACCCGGAAATGAGGGAAAAGACAGACCGACAGACCGATCGATATCATCGAGATTTTGTTTGATTCGAATTCATGGTGCTTCAAAACGTGTATTGCCCTTAGACCTTATAGTACATATGGACTGCTAATTGTAACTAAAATATGGTCAAGGACATTGCCTGGGTATGTGCGTTTCAGGGTAAACGAGTCTGTCCGAAATTGTCCGATGTGACACGATTTGAGGCTGTCAACCTATAAATTAACAAACGTCAACTAATTAAATGCCCAGATATGGCAAAAAAAGCAAACCTATTCTTATTTGTGGACGTATAGAAGATAACCAAGAGTATTTAGCTTCCCGTACTACGCGGTTACCATAAAAGCTACTCTTTACGCGATCCGAGTGGTGTTCATACGACTTTAGTTTACCCTGAGATTCACATACCCACGACTACAGTGCCCTCTATCGGTGACCACCCATTTTGTATTGAAAGCATAGGGCTAATAGCAGTCCATGTACTATATGGTCTAAGGTATTGCCATAAAAAGGTGGGGGGAGGGGCATTTTTGACCCCAATGGATATAGTAAACGTGTATTTTTCTTGACTCTACAATAAGCCATACTTACTAAAACTTTTTCGTTAAAAAACGTCAGAAATGTGGGTTGGGTCTAATTGTTCCTCACGACAGCACTCTCAATCGCGGTTTATCCCCTCCAGTCCCACCATTCACATCACTACTATCAAAGATTATCCTCCTTAGTCTTTGTTACTATGTATAACGCTTTTTTCTGGAACCAAAAGCTGAAAAAAACCAAAGAAAGATTTGAGAAGATTCCGGAGTGACAATTTTGGTGAAGAATCCTTGGAGTGGTTAAGACTTTCTTCCTGAGGGCAGTGTGATTCCAAAAACCGTTTTGGTTTAAACTTAGTTGGTCTATTACAACGTAAAAGAAAGAACCGTGCGTGCAACAGTTTTTTCGACATTAACAATCGCCACGATCCATGACCACCAACATTTACTCATTCTCATTCTCTCTTCGAAGGAAAATGTCCCTTTCGGGCGACTAATACGGTGACTAGGATTATAAATACATAAAAAATTGACAGTAGTTGTCACTAAATCGTTTTTTCTGTCCACTTACATTTTGCATCTGAAACTATGGAGGAGTTGAACGGAAAATGCGTAAGCGTGGTACTGGCGATCGACAAGGGCCGAAATATGTCATTTTTGGAACATCCGGTCAAGATTGTCGCGAATTTTCACGGACGACCATTGGAATCCGATCTGGTGAGTCCCGACGACGATCTGTGTTTCAATACCGAACTAGTTTGGGAAATCGAGAAAAAGGAACTGAGAAAGGTGCGTACGAGAAATATTCCGCTAAAGGTGGAGCTCCAGCTGGTCGAGAACAACCGATTTAAAGATCGCGTAGGGTTCATTTTGTTGAGCACTCGAAGCGCGAACATAATTCCGCACAGTTTTCAGGGTGAGATACCATTTAAGTGGTGTAAGCTCCTAGGGGTGCAGGCGGAGCACAAGCGTAACCACCCCGAATTGTATATGTCACTAACGATACGCGATTTGAATTCGGAAGGATCGGAAGTGCCCTACTTGTCCGAGCTGACGTTACACGCATCCGATTCACAGACGGAGGAACCTTTTTATTTTAATGGGGAGCTCATTACATTCCAATACCTCCCCGATGGCTATATTCAAATTGGCAACGGTGAAGGTATCCAAAAGTTTCTACTCACGATCAAAATTAAGGTCGCTTACAACCTCAATTTACTTCTCCCCGAGGTCTCTTTACTAAACCAAAACCGGGAAAAGTACTTTATGTCGTTTACCATGTTGGGGATAACCATCAAATCAAAACCGTTCAGTCGAGATTTGCATGACAGTATTGAAATGAACGAAAAAATAGTCGTACGTATCCGATCTGATTGCGAAGTCATTCGCCAGTATCTCTCGGAATGTTGCCAAATATACGTAACTTTCTACCAAGAGGACGACAAGCTGGGCATTGCCAAAGTGAACGTAGATACCCTCTTGGGTAGTATTAGTGAGACGGATTTCAGAAGTGGGGGTTGCTCGGCGTTGTTAGAAGAGAAGTGCTTTTTCACATTTCCCTACGTGCAAGGTACCATTCCAACGGATCCAGATGACAAGCAGCCTTGCATTGAAGTTGTTACAACGTTAAAACAGGAAGACGGACCAAGCGATCTTTCCATTGGTAATAGCGTAGCATGTGTTGCGGAGCTGAGTGTGAGTTCTGGCTCATCAGGTGATCAAGTGAGCGAGGTATCGCTAACTGCACCTGCGAAGGAAGAGTCTTCAGAATCTCTGATGGTTTACGAGTGTCACAACGCGCGTGGTGATGATCAAATTGAAGAAAAACTTGAGCAAGGAACGCATCAGTGTGTTACCGCAGCTGGGGACCAACAAGACCTCGTTGAGTTTACAGAGACCGTTGGTAGCACACAAACTGCTAACTCGATTTGCGTATCCCACGGATCAACTCCATTTTTAGTTGCACAATCTGAAACAACCATAGCAGACTCGCCGTATCAGCAGTATTGCTTGGATGTCATCGTTGATAACATCTCGCTCAAGAAATGTACTAAAGCGAAGACCATTCGGATCAAATTTAAGCACCCGAAAGCTTCAAGCACAATAACTGTTGACATTCAGCCCGATAGTCCATTAGGTGAAGATATTATATTGGAAAACGCGAAATGCAAGATGTTCTTTATTTCCACCGAAGATCACGTTCGCAAAATGGTCTACGCGTGGCCTCCCAAACTCCTCCTGACCGACGAACTGGATAACAATCTGACGGAAGAGCTCGATATTTACACGGCTCTGTTTCTCGCGAAGAAACGCTACGATTGCTCGTACATAACCGAGTGTAAGGCTACGCGAACGTACGAGTCGCTCGCGAATGTGAGTATCAGAATGTATCTTCAGGAGTACGGCTTGTCCGTGTTTCCGGATCCGACAGACTATCTACTGTCGCCCCCGATTTTGGACGAGCACATTGCTATACAGGAATTGGGGGATCTGCAGACTTGGAAGGTCAAACAGAAGGCACAGTATACTGCCGATCTAAAGTTGATGCAAAGGCAGCGACTGGCAGCGCTTCAAGATGAATGGACCGAAAAGAAGAATCAAATGGAGAGCAACCTCGCTAAAAGCGTGCAAAAATTCAAGACGCTAACCTCGGAGCTGCAGACTGCCATGAACACGTTGCGCACGAAGAAGGCATTGGAACAAAAGGAGGAGGAAATGACCTTAACGCAAAACTACAATCTGCAAGATCTCGTGGAGAAGAACACCTTGAAATATTCCGAATCGACCAAAGTTGCGCTCATGTCCGCGATAAGTAACTTGGAATACGAAAACAAAAAGCTGAAGCATATCATTGACGATCAGCGAGTTGAAATCGAGCAAATAAAGAAGACGGCCCTCACGAAAGAGCAGAGCACCACGCTCCTGCAGCAGTTGCGTGGGCTCGAAGAGAAGTTTGAGGACACGCAGAAGGCCAAGACGTACTTCAAGGATCAGCTGAAGAAGGCCGTGCGGGAAATTCACGATTTGAAGTCGGAGAATCAAAAGCAAATCAAGGAGAGGATTCACAGTCAACGGATCGAATTGAGCCAACTGCGCCTTGACGATTTGTTGTCCGATCGCTTTCAATAATCGAGCCGGTGGTTAAGCTTAAATGAATGTGTGCATTAAACTAGTTTGTAACCACTACTCCTTTTTATTTAATTTTTCTCAGGACCTCATACTGACCTGGGGAAAGCTGGAAATCGTTCTAAAACCTTAAGATAGTTTTGAAAACGAGTAATCTTTTGGCCCTCAGAAACTTCGAAATCTTACTAATTGCTTCAGTTTTGTGTGTGTGTGCCATCTCAGTTCAATTTGTGGCCAGAGAAAATAAGAAGCAGAAATTATTAAAGTCACTAAATAGTGACTTTAGAAATTATGATATTATAGCGGCATCTACGAGCAGAGGTGATGATTCTCCAAAGAAACAACCTTGTTTCTGATCTTTGGAACTGTGACAGTGACAGTTACAGTATGTGACAGAGGCATTTGACCAGATAGAAGATTCTGAAAGACTTCAAAGGGGAGATTCCAACTGCGGTCGCCCTGTGAGTCAGACTGGAGAAGAAGTATGGCGATGGGATCATTTTTGCTACTGTTAAAAGGAAGACGTCAGTTGACAGCTGGTACAACAACTTGAAGAAGAACAGAAGAGCGCCTTCGCATTGTTAAAACAGCTGCAGCGATCATCCGAGAAGACATCATATCACGCATTTATGCGAATGATTCCTACTCTAAAGTGGACAATTTCTTGGGAGATGCGCAAAACGATATTCCTGACATCTTGCAAGTGTTTTTGACGAATATTGTCACGTCTAAAAAACAACATAAGCCAGAAATATTCAATATAACAAGAGCTCGATTTTTAATTTCGTCAATTCTGACTGGACTTGGATCAATATTCTACAGGATGGTCTAGATTGGATACTTTCTTATGGAAACATCCTTTATTTTAAGAGATACACAAAAATGAACCACAGCGCAAACAGAATTCGGTTATCTCTAATCATTACGCCGCTAAGGGGCGATTCTCGAATTTAGTTGATTTCCTTATTGCCCCATAATTTTCTTATTATTAAAAATAATTGATTTTGGCCAAATCTTTCTTAGAAAAATGTAGAATCCATTGCGATACACAGTTATAATACAGAGTATTTGATTTTTATACTTTTTCATATGGACCACCCTATATATTTTGGAGTTTCTGAAAAGAGCGTAAAATTTCCTAAATTTTGATGTATTCACTTATTATATGAACTTCTATTAAATATTATTTGTAATATTGCATTATACACGGTGTTTCATAATATATGCGCAGGACTTCAGAATGTGATAGCTCGTCCAAAAATTAAAAAACAGTTTCTATTAACCTACCCTCTAAAATGCAAAATTTTCGAGATACAGAGGTTTTGAAATTTACAAAAATTTCGTTTTTGGGAATATCTCCGGAACCGTTTATCGTATAGAAAACAGTTTTTGCAAGCATTTTCTACTTATCTACTTATTATAAGGTATGTTTTGTGTGGTCAAAATTAGTAAAACTTTTAAAGGGGTAATGGGTGTTTTTCTCCCCAACTTCGACGCCTCTGAAAAAAGTACGGTTTTGAGACGCCCATTTGAACCGCCATTGTTTTCTACACAGAAAAGGTTTCCTTGCTCATACGCTCTAAAGTTGACCGTTTTCGGTAAAAATCAATAAGTTGAAAAACATGGTCAATTTTTTTAAATAAAAAATTTTTTTACCAGTTAAACAAAATTGTGCCTTTAGTCTTGATTCTCACTAGGGGTCGTCATACGCCGTGTTGAGTCTGGCTTTATACGTTCTCTTGGTCACCGAACCACTCAAGCCTGACAACTACAAGACTCAACACTGAGGCAGCTTGCGAAGGGGAATAACAGCATATAGAGAGTTTATTGAGTAACACTTTCGTGATGTCCATTCGTGATTCCATAGAGAAGACAGAGTATTCCTCTCAAAAAGCCCTCAAATCTTTCGAAATAGTCGACTGAACAGCTGAACAACCCTCAAAAAACATAAGCAATTTTTGATAGATAAAGGGATAAAGGGACACAAGCCTCAGAATACAATCAGAACTCCAAACTGTAAAGATATGCAAGGTCGTTCTCTTATTGTGCCGTAGTATATTAGGTACATTATAAAGTTATGCAGCGTTATCATTATAAAAACTGGTTGGGTTTTCGATAAATATATTAGAAAGTATAGAATTGGAACAGTACCTATTGTAATCTTGTGATTATTAGACAGTGCACGGTAAAGGTTAAACGTTATACGTGTGGTGGTTTATCTAACCGGGCCTGTGTGGATTTCTCAAAAGTTGAAGCTGAAATTTTAATTGGTAAGTGGAGTTGCAATAATTGTCTACAAATTAGCCACCACAGCACTCTAACTCTGAATTAAATATGGCGGGTGATTCTTAGTCCACTAAAACTATAAAAGCCAAAAAATCTGAGGGTATTGTTCTAAGGGAAATAATTGTAAAATATTTTTTTTACAAAAAGAGCACACGAAAAAGATGCAAACGCGACGCGAATTTCGCGATTTTTTTCCGTTTGCGTTACGTTACGTTGGCAATTTTCCGAGATAACGGATCGACGGATTTTATTCAAACTTTGGATTATTAGGTATACGTAAACTTAATTTTTTTAAATAGAAACGATACTTTGTATTTAATATTCATATTCTACATCTGAAAATAATAAACTTTCGTGGGAAACGTTTTTGCCTATACACTTTTTTGAAGACACTCTTTTAAAAGCGCTATTTTTGGATTGAGCTAGAAAGTTGTTCTGTCAAGAATTTGGCACATTTTTTCCTAATCGAGGAACTATCAGACAAAACCGGATAAATCCATTTTTTATACTTTTGAGATATTGACTAAGAACCTGTCTAGGCCAGGCTTTTAAATTCATCCAGAAAAAAATGATGTAAGTGAAAGGTATGACATCACAAAGTACTTCTACAACATTTTCCTTCCCATTCCATTATTAATATAAAAAATATAGCAAACAAGAAAATAAATTTACCTTATTTATTGAATTTTACAATGTAAAGTTGCTTACTTCAATGCTTTTATGAGCATAAATTATGGATTTTATGCTAAAACAAGTTTATTTTTTATTTTATTTTTTTGTGCGCCGATTTCTGTGATCATGGGCCTATTCTGATCTAAATTCGTTAAAATAATTTTTTTATTACTTTTTATAAAATCATTAACTTTTTTGGTAAACATTTTTTGCTGTTATATACTTACAGTGTGTCTACTTAAGTTGGCGCCATACGGAAAACTTTTTTTTTTGAGTTATTTTTTGTAAAACATCCTGCTTGTTCAAAAACTCTAAATGCACAATTTAGTTTTTTTTTCTTAAAATGCGATGTTTTCAAAGTATTGATGTTGCAAGACAGGTTTTTTTTCAATTTATCCGAAAACGTCGCATTTTCAAAAAAAAACTAAATGGTACATTTAGAGTTTTGAAACAAGTAGAACGTTTTATAAGAAATAACTTAACAACTTAAATAGACACACTGTATATAGGAATAATACTCAAAAATAGTGGTCATGATGGTTATGAATTTAAAATACTTAACAGAAACGCATGAATTAAATTAATCATTTAATGAACGTGAAAAGTCAAAGATATTCGTGTCGTCAACCCCACCACTTGAATATTACACGTTAAAGCTAAAACCACGGTGGTAGAACAAAGTACAATAAACGATAAAAATCACCTTTTATGTTTTAAAATATAAATAAAATAAAAATTGATATCATTTTTAGTAAACAAAATTTATTTAAAGCTTAGAACAAGTAACAAAACCAAACGTTAACTTCATAATAATAACTGCAAATTACACGGTTAAATTAAATGTTGGAAATGAAATTTTCAAACATTAAGTACCCCGGGTTCCCCTACTATGCTATGACTGAAACAATTGATGCAATGCAGGTAAATTTCCGTATGGCCCATTTTAAATAACTCAACGCCTTTACATTGTCTTATGGCCCATCTTAAAAAACCCCCGTGTATATAAACCTTGGAATTAAAACTGCATTAATGTTTTTAAAACCAATCGCAGTAACTATGGATATTTTTAAACAAAAACAAAAGAAATTTTTTCACTTGTCACATCTGTCACAAAATCAGTTTAGTGAACAATTTAATTATAAAAACCACATTGCAACAAAATAATAATTTCACAAACGCAACGTGTTTAAATTTGTCTTAAGTTATAATAATTATACCTGTAACTGTTTTTCATTTGTTTTCTTCGCTTCCTGTTGTAAATTTTATGTCTTTGTTTTAATTTCCACAGCTACTACGATTGGTTCTAAACACATTTAATAATAATAAGAATAAAAAAAATAATAAAAAATAAAGCCAAACGTGCCAAGACAATGAATGTTTAGGTAATTCAGAATAAAAATAGTAAAGTAGGGAGACTAATTACATGTTACCCTATCAACTAAAGGATACTGCAACCGGCTTCTCACAACATCATCGCCCAAAAAACCTGAGAACCCATCCATTACGTGCGTTTAACGAAAGACTAATCTGATCCTTACAGCCTATAATGGGGAGGACCACCTGAAAAAAGCGTATAATTACATTTACTTTAACAAATAAGATTGATTACATAAGCACATCGATTTTACATCTTAGAGGTTACGAAAAAGAATCCAATTTCCGCGGAAAACTTTATCAGCTCGATGAATACAGATTTACCTTGATTTAATTTTACGTCGAACGAATTCGAGATTTCTAGGGAGAATTTTTTTTTCATCCGATCTTAGTCAGCTACAGGGATACGAATTAACCTTAGTGGTATTTCTTTGAAGCGAGTTACCGTTGTGGAAAATTGCTTTATATGAGTACCTCTAGTCGATTAAGCAATTCGATCAATCAACCGAACGAGTAATCGAAAATTTTTGATTGAGAAGTCTATTCGTGTGGATCATTGGGGTGTTAATGTTAAGGAAACGGCTGGCTGTTCTTATCTTGCGTTTCCAACGTTTGAATGAAGCCTAATAAAATCAAGTACGTTAGCGTTTTACTACTCAAATTTATTGCGGTTTTGTTGTAAAGAAGCGACTGCTCGATAATGTGCAGTTTATAGTACGTAATCCTCCATTGTGTAATCAAACAATCAATATACCTACGTGAAGGGTGATTATCGCTCAGCGCGTATCACATAATTTGTATCACTTATACATAGATATATGGTAATAGAGGGAGGAAAATCCTTCCTTTATTTTCATCTCAAATATCCTTTCTACATGGTTTCAGTAACAAAAACCAGAAATTTCAAAACCTTTGTATAATATTAGTACTAGTTTTGTAATGAACAATGGAGGGGTTGTTACTGTTGACCGATTAATTTGTTTTGGTATAAATACAAACACGAAATAAAGTTTTTGCACTTACCAGATCAAAACCGCTATTTAATAATCTATTTCTGAGGCAGAGGTTGTTTATTTGCTTTCAGGGATTACATTTTTATGGATTGATAATGGAAATTCATAATTTTTACTCGTTACAGCCCCCTCAAAAGGAGACCAAACAATTTTTTGTCGTGTCGCAACGATATCGAACCTTTTTTTTCAAATAGCAATCTAAATTTTTTATGAAGTTAATTAAAGAAGGACTTTATTTTTCTGTGGACAACCTACAAAAATTGTGCCAGGTTTTATTACAAAAAAATCTGCGAAAAAAAATGTCAAAGTTAAAAAACTAAAAAAAATTTTTCGCGAAAACGGTTATTATGAATTCGTTAAAATTTTGCGAATGTACATTAGGCATTATAAAGGATGTTAAAAGCTTTTTTTAATAGCACCGTGACGTTATACAACATTTTTTCAAATAACAAGGCAATATTTTTATTAAATTATTCGAAAGGCTTTCTTTTTTGTGTAGAACAAAATTATGCCACGTTTTATTATAAAAAAGCGGAGAAAAAAATGTCGAAGTTACAAAATTATCTAGCAGCTTAGTCAGCGGTTAATGTTTAGGATGGGCGATTGCAGAAGTTCGGTCGTTACATTCTTTTTGGTTAAATGCAAAGAACTTAAGATGAAATATCAATGCCTATGTTAAAATATCAGTGTACATGTATAAATATGATGCAGTTCTTATAATGATTAATTAATATGACAGATTTAAACACAAATCTATGTTAATATTAATACAGTTGAACCTGACCCATCTATATATCATCTGCACCAGGCCGCCGACAAAAAAGAAGGTGCTTTATGTTTATTGACTTTTATAATAAATGCATTATTGTAATAAGAGTTAGTAATAAGTAAAAAAAGTGTGCGAAGACGTTAAACGATGAAGAACGCTTTTTGGTCTGAGCTATGAAACTTTTCTGTTGAGAATTTGGCACATTTTTCTTCACAATTTTAGACCATAGAAATTTCGGTGCTAATTTTAATGAAAACCCTCTAACGGCATCAGATATAGTACCTTATTCCTTCGCCAAACTTTATCACCGACATTAAAAGTGTAATCTCGTCGTCGTAGATTCTTTTCATGAGAATTGGGAAACCGCTGCCTAACTTCATGAAATAAGTGGAAGTTTTGCTAATTCTTTGCATAAACGTCTTTACTATATGGCAAAAGTGTAATATTATTACTATTCAATTAGTCCAGGCAAATTTACTTTTTATAAAAGAAAATTGTTAATGGAGCTTTACTTTCTTCCAGTAACTTTCTCTACATCAAAATAAATAAAATAACAAAAAAAAATCGCGGACAACCGTGTTTTTTGTTTTTTATTGTTCATTTCTGCAAAAATGATTTTCTTTTAACGCGGCTTTTCAAATGAAAATTGTCCTTCAGAGAATTATCGTAGGGAGTTCTATTTGGTGTCATTTTCTTCATTTTATCTATACTTTGTGATGAGATTAAAAAAATTATAGTCCCTACCCCTGTCCCTACCTAAGAAGAAGCTAATAAAACGAAAAAACTCCAAAAACGACTTCAGTAACACTGAATTTTCTAGTCAATATTAATAATGTGTTTAAATTTTGGAATTTGTTCAAAACTCATTTCAGCATTCGATTGTACGGGAAAAAAATACAAAAGAACTGGGTTTGAACAGACACTTTTTTCTCTATAGTATTTGGCGTCATAATAGAGCTTCATATGAATATGATAAATAACAATCTTTTCCAATTTGTTGTGCATTTTTGCAAATTTATTTGTAAAATGTAGCTTTGAAGCTCACTTTGACCGGCCGGCTGGGTGGCTGGCAGCAAATTCGAAATTCACTCAACTGGTGGAGGGTCGTCAGAAATTCTACAGAGATTATTCAACGGAGTTTTAAAGTTTTCCTTGAGTTTAGAAATCCTTCTGATTTCTGGAGAACCAGCTTTAGACGGTCCTCTAACGATTTTATAATCGTTCTTAAAAAACATAATTAGAAAAAGACACTTTAAAATACCTTTCTTGAATAGCTCTTTATAATATTGTTAAAGGTTCTTTCAGATGTTATTAGAGATTTCTTGAAATATTTTAGATGTCAATGAGTAATCAAGGCTTTTTAAAGTTTCAGAAGTTCTTTCGATTTGTCTAAAGTAGGTACCTCAAAAGTCCCTTCTTACCGCGGTGATACAGAGATAATTCAACGATTCTATTTCTATTCTATTACAATAGTATTTTTTTTAATCTTCCAGAGGATGTCTCACAAATTGTGAAATGGATTTCCAACTTTATTTTGTTTGTTTGAAATATCGAATGCCCTCTAACCTTCGATAAGATATACTAAAAATATCATTTGGTAGGGAACTCCGGTTGCACACAAATTCGGAGAATGATCTCTTTCTTGTTCAAAATAACGAATAATATTAGAAATAAATTGCTTACTTTTTCTTGGTAAACCCGATGGCACTTTTGTGTATATACAATTTTTGGCGCAGAATATCCCAGTGAGACTTACAAAAGTTATGTTTCTATATCTGTTCGTTATGAAACTATTAGACGTCAACCACCACAATTTTGATTGACAAGTAACGTAAAAACAAAATAAACCTTTTCACTAACGGTTGTTGTTTTATATTTTAAATAGCGCACAACTCTGGCTTAAGAATCTATATTTTGTGAAATACATTTATCAGTCTAACATAAATACGTAATTACAACGTTTATTGTGAATGAAAATGATTTTTTTAATTTTTTATTAGGTTGGCATAACAATATTCCCCAAAAACAGAGTTGATGACGTGCGCGTGAACTAAGAAAAATCCTACTTTACTAAAAAATAACGAACCAACGCTGATTCGATTTAAAGATCAATTTCATAAAATTGCTATTCTTGTTTCAAATTTAAAAATCGTCCCCCAGTCACTGTCTTTACTGTCTATACAGTGCGTACAGTCCAATCGTAGGTGTCGCTTTTGGGAAACATTTCATGGGCGCTTGCCTTTTACGATACTACAACAAATAAAGCAAGTTATAACACTTTCGTCCGTCGCAATTATCTTACTGCGGATTTGGTATTTATTTTGCACCTAAAGATTGCCAGTTAGTACATATTGTAGCTAGTATTCTAGAAATCGAGAAAGACATCGGGGCGCCACCAGTCGCCATCAAGTCAATAAAAGATTAATCAGTGGCGATAAGGAATGAAGGCGAATGTGACGCATTCTTTCCGGGAAATTCGATTCGAGAATGTCCTGTTGTGTTTAGTTAGTTAGTTTCAACAGCCATTTCGAATTAGTGAAGTTCGTGCTCTTATATGATAAATTTACATGTTATAAATTTGAGTACAAGTGCGTTATAAATTAAACCATTTAAGGACTGTTAGATAAATAAATCAAGTTACAATATTAAGCTTTGAATTATCAATAAAAAAGGCTTAAAGTGCATATCAAGTTTGAATTTTAAAAAGAAGCTATTTGTTAGGTGTCTTTCTTACGGTTGATTTTAGAGAGGTGTTATCGAACGCACCCTTAATATTTAAGAAGACACGTAGTGCAATTTCCATGAGACTAAGTGACTGTTCTGTGAAGGTCGGTTCTCCGCTTGGTAGGTAGATCTCTTACTTTGAAAAGGAATGCAGTCAGCGGACTCCCCTCCGGGCTTTAGTGTAAATACCGCTTTTACTTGTCTTAGGCACATACTCTAAAGCAACATTGGCCCTAAAGAGTGTGAATAACATGCAACAGAGCAAGGAAAAATTTCGTCTAATCACAATGGACCGTAGTGGTCTTATTTACTATTTCTAATGTTTTTTTTTGCACCTTATTACTGAAAAAAGGATGCACGCTGAATAAACAAAAAGTGTGATGGAAAGTTCTTACTTATCGTTTCGGATGCTTCCATAAATGATGGGACTTAATTTTCATATTCAACAACCATCTCCTCATGATCTACCTCAAAATCGAACACTCGAAGTTCTTGGCAGAAACTTATAACAACCCTAAAACTTTCGAGAAAGTCGACGCAAGTTCTGCGTGTATACATATCAGACGTAAATCGTAAGGGGATGACGTATGTTACAAATTAGAGGTCGCTTTGATCGAGTGTGAACATTGACACAATCGAGCGAGGGCATTTAATATAAGTGAATAAGAATCAATTACTCTACATTCTTGGGTATAGAATATTATTAGTATAGTATACAATTTCAAGATCGTTTATTGAATACAAAATCAGTAATAAATAAATAAATAATCACTCTGACAACTTCGGATGGAGATAGCAAGTTTTGAAGCCTCTATTCTCGAAGCTGGACGTTTGCTTCAAGCCAGCTCCTACGTGCATTGAAAGCTTACTGTCGACCATCTTCAGCAAATCCTCCACGTGAGTATCGTGCGCGTGCTCCATAAATACCTTACATACGGCCTGTATGTAAAGAGTTCCATGTACAGGATCTCGATGAGAGACGAAACCTGAAGTAACAGATCAAATTTGTATGCAAATCACCCGCGGAAGTTTACCGGGAACCGTCGAATAGGCGAGCAGCATATCGGATAGGCTCCTTTGATCGGTAGAGAGTGGTACCGCGTCGTACTGGACATCCTGGGCGCTTCCTCTGGTTGCTAGATGAGTGACAGTTACTAAGTAATTGGAAGCTTACCTGCAGCACTGGAAGATGAAGATTTTGGGTTTTGCGCCCAGGTTTTTGCAAAGCGTGCTGTTAAATTGATCGATGATCCACGTGGTTTCGATTAGAAGGCCGTCGCTGCAAAGCACTTGAGTGCTGTCGCTCCTTTCGTGACCAGTACCGTGACTCATAACAATTACGCAACCTATGTCTACTTTTTTTAAGGAGGTACTGTCCCGAAAGGTTTTGATTTTCTTTTCCATATCCTGAAAGTGGATCAGATTAATTGCTTTTCTCATACTGCGATTATATGCAAAGGTTCCCTTTGTTTTTTAGTGGTGACGTTGCCTACAGTTCTCGTTATGCAGCAAAGTGTCTAATGAATCACATTAGCGGGGAGTAATTAGCGATATCAAGAATTGGAGAACAATATTTGTGAAGATTTTCCCGTTTTCAGAATATCTACATCTGATTCACTTGCCAGATATTCCGATACTTCTCAGAAATAATGCTGATGGGTTTTGATACCGTATTTTAAAAACTAATGTAATTCAAGCACAGAATTGAACGATTATTGCATAATTACATCACCAATTTGTTATTTGCAACTTCAATGATACTCAAATATCAAATTTCATTGAAATCAAAATTCCTTTTCGTATCCCCGTCCAGGAATGAGGGTCTTATGGTCGGAATTTGCAAAAAACGACGTAAAAATCTAAAAATCATTCTAGGAACTTCTACTTCAACGCCTGGAAGTTCCGAATGTGAGAGCATGATATTCTAGCGTCGTTTATGCCCATGTCCCGAGGGGGCATCGCGAGAAACTGGACGAGAAGGCGCGTGGAAAGGGACGTTCCTCGGATATTGCCCAGCTGGATACAGAGTTTGGAACCTTGCAACGAAGTCAATTGTTCCGAGAAGTCGATTTCCTGGAGATGGCGGTTTCGGATGAAAACGAGAAGCAGCAGAACCTGGGTAGGAGTACGATGATACAAATGTCGGTAAGTGGTGAGGGAGAATACCTCGAAGAGAACAGTGTTCAAGGAGAACATGATAAAAAACGAGATGACGATGAGCAGTTCACTGCGAAGTGGAGGCTAGTTTTGCTTTAAATGCGTTATATGGGGGATCTACCGGAAGCGAAGTGATTGGATTTTGAGGCAGCGAGCGATGCAGGACGAGACTGATTCTTTGGAGCGCAACGGAACCTAGACTTTGTCGATCCGGAAGGAGGAAACGCAACTGGGTGTTTAAAATAGAGCCAGATAAAGATGGAAAACCAGCACGGTACAAGGCGACGCTGGTCACCAGAGGAGGGATTCGGCCAGAAATGAGGATTTAATTATTTATTTATTTATTTATTAACCCTCTCTTGTTCTGGGCCCTCAATAGGCTTGCGCTAAATTTTCAATGTTCCACAGTATGAAAATGTCTAAAATTACCCTTATTACTTAAAATTTGCAGTTATTAAAGCTCAAATTAATTGGCTCTAACTTTTTTACAGGTTTCCGTTTTATTAATAATGTTAAAAGCACCTCGTATAAACGAAGAAGATGCAAACTTTGATTAATAAACTGGTTTTTCAACGCGACTAGCCACTCCAAAAAATAAAGCAATGTTTTCAACCTTGAAATACTTTCAGAGATTATTTCATGTACAGGGTGTCCTATTAATATAGGTCACAGGCCATATCTATAGAACCGTTAATTGCACAGCTTGGGGAAAATGGTGTTAAAAAAAATTGGACAAGAGAAATCGCTCGATATTATTTTAAAGTTTCTTGGTTTGCCGCTAGAGGGCGTACGATTCATGGCTAGGTACCAATATAAATAGTATAATAATAAAAAATGTATGTAAATAAAGAATGTATGAATTTTGCATCATTTTGCAACAAATATTACTTTATCTTATAAAATATGAGGGGTAGGGGAAGGGGAAGGTCTCTTTAAGGAATTGAATGTAACTTCGGTTTAGGTTAACCGATTCTCACATAATTAGTCTTATTGGAAAGAGTTTTATTTAAGAGTTATATAGAAATTGAAAATTTGTTTAGTACCACAATTCACAATTTTAATTGGAAAAATGTTTGTGCATACAATATTCACTTATGGAAGATCCTCCCCGGAATATTCGCGGTAGAAAAATATCACGTATTAACTACAGGTCGAACGAGCAACATTTGCTCCACAAGGGCATCGCCCTCCTTCTGAGGGAAATTTAGGAACGTTCGGCTACGTAATATTCTGTTTAGAAAATTCTGAAAGGCAGAACTTTCTTTAGACAGATATGCTCTTTGACCATCCCTCTTAGTGTTTCGAAGTGGCACCATGTTCATCCGCCTGTGGAATCTCAGGAGTGAGGGGGGGGGTTCCGAAAATGTTGATTGCTAACGACCGGACCATTTTTTTTAAATCTACTAAGCTCCATGGTTGTGAAAACACGATTAGAATTTTTGGGGTCAAGTACTGGAGCACATGTAAGCCCGTATTCAGGCCCTAAATAACATATTCCAATACTTCTTTGATTTTTTTAGTGTTTTAGCTCCAAACTTGCATAATTTGGCACATAAAGTTTTTATGGCAATCAGAGGTATAATCTCAGCCCTTTCAGTGCGGGTGGCTACCCGTTCGGGTGCCGCGAACATGCTACCTCATTTACGGTTTAAATTACTGGACTGTCAGCCCTCTTGCAATGCGAAAAAGGGGCAAATTATGGCCAACTGCTAATTAGGGTTAAAATAGAGGTCTGACTTCACCCCCACTTCCTGTACCAGCACAAAATTCAGCTGTTGTTTGTTGATGATGTAATCCTAACTGTGCAACCGATTCTATATCTTGAGGGGGGTCAAGTAATTAGTTAGGGTTTGTTGTGTAAGGTGTATAGACGTACTTTGAAGCCTGGAATCACTCTTCCGACAACGTAGTGAAGGCATTTTCATTCTTCACTGCTACTGGCAACCAGTCAGAACTGAATTTCGTGTGAGTATCAGGGGGAGGGGTTGGGTTCAGAAGATCAATAACTCCGATTGGCAGTTAACCATAATTTGAACGTTTTTCTTATAGAGACTGTGTCCACGACGATGGCCCAATGAGGGAAGAGTTGCGCAATTATACAGTTACAGGTTACGAATACAACGATATGCGGCACACAAAAAAACAAAAGTTGGAAACTCTGTTGGTTTCAACAGGATGGTGCACCCACGTACAACGCCCTATTTGTGCTAGAATACCAGACCTATCGGAGAAACTTTCCAGAAAATTTGTCCGACAGCTGGAAAATTTCTCCGATAGGTATTCTCGCACAATTAGGGCGTTGTGCGCGAGTGCACCATCCTGTTGAAACCAACAATTTCCAATTTTTGTTTTTTTTTGTGCCGTACACCATTGTATTCGTAATAAAACGATGATGATTTCTCCGAAACGAAACGTTGTATTGAAAATCTCTCAACGGGGTTAAAATAGTGGGAATCAAAAAAGTGTTTGTTATTTTTTTGTAGCTGTTCAAATAACAAAAATTGAATCAGCAAATTTCGGTTTTTCTGGAATATTTTCTTTAATTTATTTAATAATAATCTTTAAAGCATGGTACTAACACTTTAATTGCGCAACTTTTCTTTAATTTGGTCACTCTCGTACCTTCTATGGTTTCCAAGATTCCCATGATAGACATCCTCATCTTGGATACGGTGTATAGTCCCGCCACCGCAAATGCAGCACCCAAAGCGGTAAGTAACCCGCACTGAAAGGACTCAGGTTACACCGCTGAGCCCCATAAAAACTTAATTTCATGTGTTCAAACAATTGGCTGGTTAGTGCCTGAATGTGTAAGCAACCCCTAATCATATGGGGTTGCCTTTGCCTCAGTAGTCGACTCAAAATAATCTAAACGGGTTTCATTAGCTTTTTAAGCGCGCACTTTTTGCTAAACTCCCAGACTACTTTGCTATAGTTAGGGAGGAACTTATCTTTCGCAATGGAGTATAGGGGTGTTGTCATCGAATCTCTTTGGACGAATGTTCCTATATTGGATTCTTAGAGTGAATATTTTGAGGGCGAACCGCTTTACGGACAATCTTTATGCAAAAGAATAGATTTTGCGTTAATTAACTACAATCAGTTAGTTCAGTCACGACCACACAGACTCATTATAGATCAAAGGGCAGCACTTTTTGACTTTCACCGGAAAATTTTGTTCATAAAAACTGCCAGCAAAGGGAAAAGCGCGCAAATTTCATACAACGGCTGTCGGCCACTTTTACAAAGAGAGAGAAAATTTAATCGCGTGCGCTTGACGTCGGTCGTTTAATTTACGGATAATCGAGACTTACCGTTTTTGTGAGATTTTGATGCCTTATAACTTCAAATCCGATCTCCTGGAAAAGCTTTGTTAAGTTGGCGTCGTCCAATTCGGCGCCCTCCCTCTCGTGCCTGTCGTTAATGAACTTAACGTTATTAATGAGCAGAAGTTTCCCCCGGTGCTTTGATCGAGTTCGGTATACAGGTACTTTGGATTCGTTGCAGTCGTCGTAAAATTTTGCGCTTTGTTTGACTGAGACATTCAATTTGCAGTCAAGATCACTGATTCCAGGGTTTGCTACAAGGTTTTTGACGTAGACATTTCGGGGTGGTACGGGTGAAATTGGTTTATTGTAGTTAAATTTGTTGTTGCTTGTCGAAGCACTATGAGCGGTTGTCAGCGGTTGAAAATTGGGGGAACAAGCGGAACGGTAAGGACGCGGCTGATAGGTTTTCGGGAACGTTTTCGCATCCGTTGCCATTTTTGGTATTTTGAAGTCGAATATGGGACCTACAATTAAAACCTGAAGTTAAGGGTAACAAATCACTGCCCGAAAGACCTTGCGTTTTTATGTTATTCAGGTCAAACGTGGGGGAGCTCGACACCACCTGCACTTCCGATGAATGCGAGGTTCTAAAAATATTGCAAATCAGTTGCCCAAATTGTCCAAATTAATACTTACGAAGAACTTTGGCGCGTCATGGATGTTGATGATGTCGTCACGGTACTTTCGCCATTTTTTGTGATCGTCAAGCTGACCGAAAACAATGAATTAATTTGCAGATAACGTGCATGTAGAAGGTTAGAGATGAATCACGTTTTACATATTTAGGTTATGATTTACTTATCAACGAAATTGAAACTATTTAACTTACCTTTTAGATACGGACGAAGTTTCCTTCGACTTCGAGGACTTCGATTTTTTTGAAAAAAACGAAAGCGGCATGTCGCTCACAGTTACTTAACTAATTGTACTATACGCTATCACAGTCTACAATAGACAACCATATTGGAACTGCCACTTAAAAAATGCGAGATAACAATTATGAAGGTATCCTGTTATCTTCGATGTTTGTTTAAGTTTCACTTTGCGCAGGTCAGAAGTGAGTATGAGACATCACACAAAGAACTTCATTGTTGGTTGTTTTTTCTCAACAATTGAAAATCATGGAGCCCTTGATCTTGGTATCATTAAAATTTGTAATATTAGGTACATAAAAATTAACTCATATAAGTACTAAAACACTCATTTCTGTATTTGTTAATGCATAACTGCTTTTCTTTTTTATCATTCTCGTTCAGCTTCACGTTTTTTTTACTTATGCCATAACCCAGGATATTTGTACCCAAACTTCTCGCTAGACGCACACATCGCCAAAAACAAAATATTACAGGTCATAAATTCGGTGAAACGATTTTGCCCGAAAGTAAAATTTTTGTTCAGAAAAATACGAAGAACTATATCGTACAATACCGGTAGAACCATTTTTTGAAAATTGCCTAAGAGGTGCAAGTTGAATCTAGGTTGCTGCTATCATATCCTATTCAAAGTTTCTTGTAGCCATACAAGTGGAAAAACCCAAAAATGTCATTTTCGAGAATGCGCTGGCGTTAATTTATTGTCAATGATATCAAGAAATGGTTTTAACAAACATCTAGTAATTGTTCTCAGCTTGCTCATATAATAGTTTTATGACTTGTGGGTTTCGAGTAAATCACATCAGCTTTCTTATTTTTTATGGGCGCCATATTTGATTTTTATGTCACTCAATAGAGAAAAAAATTACAAAACCAAAATACTTACTATTTCATTTAGGAATTAATCTTCAATTTTTGCCTTGAAGTTTACAATGTATTTCTTACGGCAATAATTCCATGGCTGTGTTGATTTACTATGCGAGAAAATCATTGAACTGTATACTAACGTAACTGGAACGGTTGCGCTATAACAAATAAATGAGGCAAATAAATTTGTAGGCAACCCGCAGTAGTAAAGGGTATCTGTCTCTTTTTATCTTATTACTTTAAACGATATTTATCTTTATCCTGAGTGAATATGCTTAATTGTAAAATCTTTTTGTATTTTAAATTGATAATTCATAAATAAACTAGTCTATTGAATACTTTTGTATGTTCGCAAACATTTAGACCATTTAAAATTAAGTTTAAAGTTGTTTTTTTGATGCATATAAAAGTATGGGTTTATAATGTCTAAAATTTTCTCTTTTATCAGTATTTTTGTTGAAATTGTCCTACTTTGTAGGTGTATGATTTATAATTTACAAAAAAGATGAATTTTTTAAAATGCACTTATTTTAAATACACACATTTACATAATACCTATAGTTTATACATTTAACAATTATTAAATAAAATTAATTTATTCATTTTTTGCCGAACTGTTGCAGATTTTCCATGAAATTCTAAATTTTTTAATTTGGAATGGTGGTGCATTCTGCATTTCAAGAAGACATCCACTATTTTCCGTATGATCTGAATTTCATGGGAATCTTCAGCAAGAAACTCTTCTGTTACTGGATGCGTTGGCTTAAAGATGTGAATCTTTGCTGAAAAATTGTGAATTGCCGCGTTTGTTAATAAAAGTTTCAGATTGTAGGTATTTTTTAAAACACCTCCTTGTTCGATTAGAAGGCGAAACTGTTTTTCAACAAAGTTCACAATCTCATAGACTACTTTAGAAGAGTAAATTAAGCCTCCTCTAGTAACATGGTTCACAAATTTTTTATATATTTCATCTGAAGCAGAATAACTATGGTCTAGTAAGTCATTATTTTTATAGACTAATATTTCTATACAATGGTTACATGTTGCTTTTTTAACTAGATTTTTTACTATGTATCCGGAAATGTAGAAAATTACATTTTCTTGAAAATCTGTCAATTTCACATTTGCCAAATCCTTTATAAAGTTTTGAATCTGAGAAAGTTCCTCACCAGAATCTTGTGCTATTTCTTTTCTGTGCCTCTCCTCTGACCTGAACTCAAAAGATGGAGTAGAGTATGTCGCAAAATCGCTACAATTAGCACTAACACTTGGAGTTATCGAATTTCGAAATATTAGTTGTCTAAGAGCCCACTTCAACTGCTGACTATTGGGATTGTTGTTCCAACCTCCCCTACTTCGAATGCATGAAAAGAAGAGCTCTAGATGGTCTTGTGAACATTTGTATGTTAAAAAATATGAAAAGGGCTCTTTATTTAAGTTAAATAAATCTTTAGCTAAACCAACTATACCTTCCATCGTTAAAATGAATCCAACTGCAAATGTTTTACGTTGATGATGAAGTAAAGAAATATTATTCACTTTTAATGATTTTAAATAGTCTTTAGTTTTGTTAAATATTTCTTCATAATATTTTAATGACTGAGGTCTGATAGGTGCCTTAAAACCCCTTCCATATGGATTTCTCGAATTTAGCATATCAAATGCCCTGTCTATAAATCTAATAAATTCTACAGTAGCAGCACTTTTTTGGAAATCAGGAACTTCACATTGTTCTAAATATTCAATAGCATCTGCTACTCCGCTGCTTAAAGTTTGAGCTGCTAGACGCACATTCATTCTTTTATTTTTATAATTAATATGGGTTGCTGTTAATGCATTAGCTAATGTTAAGTTCTCCGAAAATTGCATATTGTCAAGTGCCTTAATATATTCCCATTTAACTTCTACTGCATTTGAATTTAAATTAATCTCAGCTAATGCATTTCTAGCCAACTTTAACATATGACAAATATCTAATAAGCAATACACTTTTACATTATTTGTGCAAGGATGTAAAAAATAAGGAATTAAATTATCGGCTAAAACATTACAACCTAACTCATTAAATGTTCTAATGTTTGTCTGAGTGCCATCTGCTGTTATGGATCTGACTACAATACCACTTTCATATAAACTTCTTAAACAAGATGTTATTATCTGAGTTTGTAGAAAGGCGTCCGATGTAGTTATGAGAAAATAGGCAACAGGGCATTTAAAATTGTTCTTATAACTAACAATTTGCACAAATAAAGCTTCAGTAGCTGGCATCTCAAAATCCACTTCAACAATACCCCCATAATTTACATTTCCAGTAAATTTCCCATTACTATGGTCCCAAACCACTTGCTTCCTAATTGACATTCCATCTAAGATTAGTCCACAATTTTTCAAGAAGGGCTTGTTGTGCACTTCTTCCTTCAAATAATCCAACACCTCCTGTAATATTCCTGGCTCACAATTTACAGTACTTAGCCATTTCCGAATAGTGCGTCCATTTGGTAAAATAAAATATTGTTTTAAAAAATTGTAGGCCTTCGGGGAATAAAAATATAGAGTATGAGCAAATTGTTTCATGACTGACGAATATCTGCGTTGTGTTGGATTTACTTCCTTACTGTTTTTTTGTAAAAGAACTAATTCTAAGGGTAGACCTATAAAAATTGACGTTTTTAGAACTATAACTGAAAATAATTTTAAGTAAAGAATCTCACCTTCAAAATAGTTTTTTAATACAGCATCTAAATTAGTATTGCTGTGTCCACTCTTTGAAATTTCATTAATTACTTCTTTCATAGAGGATAATTTTAAGTCCCTTCTTCTAACCTTTTGCTTCAGGGTTTTGATTTGCCGTCTTAATGCAGTAACTGAACTACTTGCCAATGTCTGAGTTCCACAGTCTTTAGAAGTGGCTACATATGCTGTCGATGTAGATGGTGGACAATCTATATCCATATGTTCTGCTTTACTGGCAGTTATGTTAGGCTAAAACAAAATAATTATTTTTTAAAAATCGCCTTCCAAAACAATCGCATAAAATATCTACCTGTTTTTTTACAATGGTTCTTCTTGATTTACTTGGTTTCAGTAAATGCTGAGGAAATGAAAATACTGATGGAACAGCATCTGCTTTAAGTAGTTTCAATGTACATCCTGGCTTATCTTGGTAGTCGGAAGGAAGAAAGTGCGCCCCACAAAGCTTACTGGTTTTAGAGGGATACCAATTTTCTCTCCGAACTGCGTTTTTCCAAAGTTCTAAGATTGCTGGGCGTTTCAATGGGAAACTAAAAAATAACATATATGTCGTTAATTAATACATACATTAATATAATTTAACTAAATGTACCTATTGTGCTTATATGCACCGTCAAAATTAAGTCACGCTTAAAGTTAAGTGGAGCTTAAAAGCGTTGGTACCGATTGTTGAGACAATAATTGGTATGGACTTTAAGCTTCACTTAACTTTAAACGTGGCTTAATGTTGACGGTGCATATAGGCCTTAGACATTTAGTACTTTTTTAAAAGAAAAACATTATTCTATATTGTTTAATTAGGCTATAGTTTGACTACTACATATAAATCAGATAATAATTTATGCAAATACTTACAGATGGAACGGAATTTGCTTTTCTTTGCTATGTTCATTACTGCACTTAACAGCCACACAATGATGCACCATTTTCGAAAACAGGCACTACACAAAATATTAATAATTTCACAAGATGAACTCTGTTCTAATTATGCACAGCAAACAAAACTCTGTGCTACTCAGAATAAAATAAAAAAGCGTCCTAACCCCCAAATTTGGGTATACTTTTGATGCCGGTAGAAATTTACAATCTACCTGTGCGAGTTGAGAAGAGATGGATATCCTTTAGTATAACGATATCTTTCTCTGCGCTTGACGACACACACCCGCCGGTATAAGATATACGGACGAGGCCCTTCCAGATACGTTAGTAGTATACAGTTCAATGGAGACAATAAACGAATTAATTTGGTTTCAATCACAATTAGCCATGGAATTATTGCCATAAGAAATAACGGGCGATCAACAACGAGTGGCGGTCAAGTCGCCTTTGGAAGTTGGATTTCTCATGTAAACAAAAATTCCAAAGGTGACTCGACAAAAACTCGTTTTTGATCGCATAGTACATTGCAGACTTTAAGGCATAAATTAAAGATTAATTCCCAAATGAAATACTAAGTCAACTTCTCCTATCGCCAGGGAAAACTCACTTACCTGGCTAATAATGTAAAATACGATTCCCACTCACCCTTATATGAGTGTATTTGATTGATTTTAAAGGCGACATCTTCGAGCTTTTGTTTGATTCAGATTCGGAAAACGAAACATTTGGAATATTTGAAATAAATATTTGTGTTGGTCCCCTCCATCGCCCTTTTCTTTTCACACAATCTTATAATACGCTTCTAGAGAAATCTCTATGGGTACAGTAAAATTATGACTCATCCATGGCTTCCATTCTCTATTACAGAAAACAAATTATTCCAATTAGACATTTCAAAAATACGATACTACTAATTAGTAACTTCATGTATTTATATTATAGATAGTGAATGTTTTGCAGAAACGGCACATTGTTAGATTTGCCATTGATGTCAAGTACCTACTCGTATTTATTTACAGAAACGCGAAGCTCGAACTTCCAACACCAACTTAAACTCATTTCTTGTTTCAGACCCTGTGATCGTAATGTGAAAGACGTGGAATTAATAGCGACCCGATTAAGGAGAGTGGAACAATTGTATAAATTACCGAATTCGGTATTACAGCAGCTAGCTCTTTGTGGATATTACGAAGACCTGGAAAAGGGAGTAACATGTAAGTAGTAGCATTTTCTTTTCACTATACGTTCACGTAGCTACCTTCATTAAAATTGCATACGTATCATAATTATAACGAAACCCTTAAGATGTTTCCCTTATTACGAAACCGTCTACGTAATTAGTTTTACCCACCTAAGGGAATAACGTAGGTACCTCAAAGATGCGGTATGCGTATTCCCTCTTCGCAGTGTAGGATAGAGGGATAACTTAATTCGGTAGTAAAAAGAAAGCGAAGTTGTGATTGTAACTAACTCGTTTATCTTTTATAATAATTGAATTTCGTACTCATTTCTCATGCGACATTCGATGAACGCCAATCGCCGCGACTAATTTAAATAAACTTTTAAAATTCGCGATGGCGTTCACGTGCAAAATATTGAGAAATAAAACGATTCTTTTAGCTCAATACCGACAGCAGCGTGTACAAGGATTCAATTACATTTGCGGCCTTTAGCGAAGAAATTTTTACACGCTACATTAGATAAACGTAATTCTCTTTATGGGGGAGCAAAATTTTGAGATACGTGCATTATTTTTAATGATCTCGTGCGTCTTAAGTGGCGAAATTTTTACTTTTCTTGTCGACATTATAATTACATCTTTTCGTTTTTCTTCGTTTAATGCTTTCAGCGATAAAGAGAATCCGGCACTTCGAAAATAATCTTCCCTTACAACTTTAAGCCCCTTACATTGTTGTGTGCATGCGGAAGTTAATTTCAGAAATCCTGAATATTTAAATAACGCTTTGTTTCCATTTCGAACACTCGAGACTTATTCCAATCGCACATATTTCCGCAATATCTCAAACTAAAATGATGCCCACTTAAATTTTCTCATTACCTGTACGGAAACTTGCTAGTCACGTACACCAATTTCCTTCAACTGCCGTACTTTACTTCACCTTTAAAATTAATGCGATGAAATAATAAGGGTAAGTGGAAAAGTGTGTCTTCCTTAAGCGAACAAAGGGTAGGTCAGATGTAGTCGTATAAATTGCAGACGTGTTTTTGGTGATTGATAAACAACAGTTTATTAAGAAACGTAAGTAACAATGTACGCATTTATTTGAGAGGGACTAGGATTGATGGTGTAGAAGGCGAGATAAATTGGGCGTACGTTTTCTGTTGATATTGAAGAGGTACATCGCTGACTCAATTTAGATTCCCTTTTTGGACCTCTTTCGACTTTTAGTTTGGGTAATCTACTACATCTGCCTGTGCCAGAAGTTTCTACCCTTACGCTTACTCGAGGGGGTTGATCACGTATTTCCTAGTAAAATCAAATACTTCCACTGTATATAATGTACCTGAACAGACTATATCCATATGTATCCCTCCCCTCCTCGGATAGCACACCCACATCCCCTTTCTTCGACCACCAGCACTACCAAGTCAAGGGTCGCTCTGTTTCTATTCAAATTAATTTGTAGCACATTATATCTAAATTAAGTTGAAATTCCTAAAAATTATGTTAAAATTCGTCTTCAATTTTGCTAATGTCCAAACTCACTAAAAATTAGGCCGAAATCCGCATCAAATGCAACTAAAATTCTTGTTATAAGCAAATTTAGTGGAAATTCATTACAAATTATGTTAAAATTCGTTTCAAATTTTGCTAATGTCCAAACTCACTAAAAATTTGGAAGAAATCCGCGTCAAATGCAACTAAAATTCTTGTTATAAGCAAATTTAATTGAAATTCATTACAAATTATGTTAAAATTCGTTTCAAATTTTGCTAATGATCAAACTCACTAAAAAGTAGGCCGAAATCCGCGTCAAATGCAACTAAAATTCTTGTTATAAGCAAATTTAATTGAAATTCATTACAAATTATGTTAAAATTCGTTTCAAATTATGCTAATGACCAAACTCGCTAAGAATTAGGCCGAAGTCTGCGTCAAATGCAACTAAAATTCTTGTTATAAGCAAATTTAGTGGAAATTCATCACAAATTATGTTAAATTTCGTTTCAAATTTTGCTAATGTCCAAACTCACTAAAAATTAGGCCGAAATCCGCGTCAAATGCAACTAAAATTCATGTTATAAGCAAATTTAGTTGAAATTCACTACAAATTATGTTAAAATTCGTTTCAAATTTTGCTAATGTCCAAACTCACTAAAAATTTGGACGAAATCCGCGTCAATTGCAACTAAAATTCATGTTATAAGCAAATTTAGTTGAAATTCACTACAAATTATGTTAAAATTCGTTTCAAATTTTGCTAATGTCCAAACTCACTAAAAATTAGGCCGAAATCCGCGTCAAATGCAACTAAAATTCATGTTATAAGCAAATTTAGTTGAAATTCACTACAAATTATGTTAAAATTCGTTTCAAATTTTGCTAATGTCCAAACTCACTAAAAATTTGGACGAAATCCGCGTCAATTGCAACTAAAATTCATGTTATAAGCAAATTTAGTTGAAATTCACTACAAATTATGTTAAAATTCGTTTCAAATTTTGCTAATGTCCAAACTCACTAAAAATTAGGCCGAAATCCGCGTCAAATGCAACTAAAATTCATGTTATAAGCAAATTTAGTTGAAATTCACTACAAATTATGTTAAAATTCGTTTCAAATTTTGCTAATGTCCAAACTCACTAAAAATTAGGCCGAAATCCGCGTCAAATGCAACTAAAAGTAATGTTATAAGCAAATTTAGTTGAAATTCACTACAAATTATGTTAAAATTCGTTTCAAATTTTGCTAATGATCAAACTCACTAAAAATTAGGCCGAAATCCGCGTCAAATGCAACTAAAATTCTTGTTATAAGCAAATTTAGTTGAAATTCACTACAAATTATGTTAAAATTCGTTTCAAATTTTGCTAATGTCCAAACTCACTAAAAATTAGGCCGAAATCCGCGTCAATTTCAACTAAAATTCATGTTATAAGCAAATTTAGTTGAAATTCATTACAAATTATGTTAAAATTCGTTTCAAATTTTGCTAATGACCAAACTGACTAAAAATTAGGCCGAAATCTGCGTCAAATGCAACTAAAATTCCAACATTATGTTAAAATTCGTTTCAAATTTTGCTAATGACCAAACTGACTAAAAATTAGGCCGAAATCCGCGTCAAATGCAACTAAAATTCTTGTTATAAGCAAATTTAGTTGAAATTCATTACAAATTATGTTAAAATTCGTTTCAAATTTTGCTAATGACCAAACTCACTAAAAATTAGGCCGAAATCCGCGTCAAATGCAACTAAAATTCTTGTTATAAGCAAATTTAGTGGAAATTCATTACAAATTATGTTAAAATTCGTTTCAAATTTTGCTAATGACCAAACTCACTAAAAATTAGGCCGAAATCCGCGTCAATTGCAACTAAAATTCATGTTATAAGCAAATTTAGTGGAAATTCATTACAAATTATGTTAAAATTCGTTTCAAATTTTGCTAATGTCCAAACTCACTAAAAATTAGGCCGAAATCCGCGTCAAATGTTAAAAGTTATAAGCAAATTTAGTTGAAATTCATTACAAATTATGTTAAAATTCGTTTCAAATTTTGCTAATGTCCAAACTCACTAAAAATTAGGCCGAAATCCGCGTCAATTTCAACTAAAATTCATGTTATAAGCAAATTTAGTTGAAATTCATTACAAATTATGTTAAAATTCGTTTCAAATTTTGCTAATGACCAAACTCACTAAAAATTAGGCCGAAATCTGCGTCAAATGCAACTAAAATTCTGGTTATAGGCAAATTTAGTGGAAATTCATTACAAATTATGTTAAAATTCGTTTCAAATTTTGCTAATGACCAAACTGACTAAAAATTAGGCCGAAATCCGCGTCAAATGCAACTACAATTCTTGTAATAAGCAAATTTAGTGGAAATTCATTACAAATTATGTTAAAATTCGTTTCAAATTTTGCTAATGATCAAACTCACTAAAAAGTAGGCCGAAATCCGCGTCAAATGCAACTAAAATTCTTGTTATAAGCAAATTTAGTGGAAATTCATTACAAATTATGTTAAAATTCGTTTCAAATTTTGCTAATGACCAAACTCACTAAAAATTAGGCCGAAATCCGCGTCAATTTCAACTAAAATTCATGTTATAAGCAAATTTAGTTGAAATTCACTACAAATTATGTTAAAATTCGTTTCAAATTTTGCTAATGTCCAAACTCACTAAAAATTAGGCCGAAATCCGCGTCAATTTCAACTAAAATTCATGTTATAAGCAAATTTAGTTGAAATTCATTACAAATTATGTTAAAATTCGTTTCAAATTTTGCTAATGACCAAACTCACTAAAAATTAGGCCGAAATCTGCGTCAAATGCAACTAAAATTCTGGTTATAGGCAAATTTAGTGGAAATTCATTACAAATTATGTTAAAATTCGTTTCAAATTTTGCTAATGACCAAACTCACTAAAAATTAGGCCGAAATCCGCGTCAATTTCAACTAAAATTCATGTTATAAGCAAATTTAGTTGAAATTCATTACAAATTATGTTAAAATTCGTTTCAAATTTTGCTAATGATCAAACTCACTAAAAATTAGGCCGAAATCCGCGTCAAATGCAACTAAAATTCTTGTTATAAGCAAATTTAGTTGAAATTCACTACAAATTATGTTAAAATTCGTTTCAAATTTTGCTAATGTCCAAACTCACTACTAAAAATTAGGCCGAAATCCGCGTCAATTGCAACTAAAATTCATGTTATAAGCAAATTTAGTTGAAATTCATTACAAATTATGTTAAAATTCGTTTCAAATTTTGCTAATGACCAAACTCACTAAAAATTAGGCCGAAATCCGCGTCAAATGCAACTAAAATTCTTGTTATAAGCAAATTTAGTGGAAATTCATTACAAATTATGTTAAAATTCGTTTCAAATTTTGCTAATGTCCAAACTCAATAAAAATTAGGCCGAAATCTGCGTCAAATGCAACTAAAATTCTGGTTATAGGCAAATTTAGTGGAAATTCATTACAAATTATGTTAAAATTCGTTTCAAATTTTGC